GCGGGGCCCGGCGGGCGGGGGCGCGCGGGGCGCCGGGCGCCCGGAGAGCAGGTGGGAGTTCGTTCCCGGATCTTCTGCGGGGCTGTCAGATCCTGCGAGGACCTGGAGCCCCCGGCTCGGCGGCAGCAGCCGCTGAGGGACGGATGAATGGAAGTGTGTCTGCGGGAAACGTCTCAGGACGTCGGGAAGCGCGCCCGGCGGCTCGTTTTGCAAGTTGCACGGGGCTGCCTTTCTCCCCAGGGGAGAAGAAGCAGCGCGTTCCCGCCGGGGGCAGAGCGGTGCCCACCAGCCCCGGGGAGCCTGCTGGGTCCCTGGCTCGCTGCCGCGGGTGTCGGCGGGGGAGTCGCCGCGTCGTTGCTGGATGCATTGCGATCTGTTCGGACTTGGAAGTGCAGAGCATATGGCAGATGTGGGGAAAATGCCGGATGGCTTAGTAGCTGCAGGTAGTTCATTTAAATTTCATTCATTCTTGATGGAGGCGAAGAACAGTGTCAGCTGACAGGCGGCTGGAAAGAAGATTTTAGGGGAGGAAAAGGGTCTCTACGTTTGCAAATTGCTTTAAGCCTGGTTTTGAAGGTTCTGATCATTATTCCCTGGGAGGCTTTTATTTCTAACGCAAACATTGCACACGCACCCACGCGCGCCCGCGCCGCACATGTCACCGCGCTGGGGGAGGCTCGCCGGGATGACGGCTGAAGTCCGCTGGCCTGTCGGCCGGACGAGGGGAGGAGGGAGCGGACGAGGAGGGGAATACTCGTCCCAACTGTCAGTTGCCGGCGCTCGGGCTTCCAGCGGTCCCCGGACTTCCCGGGCTGGACCGCTGGAGCTCCCTGCGAGCGCCCGGGCGCGGGCAGCTCGGCGGCCGGCACGGTTGCCACCAACGGAAGGGACGGAGGCGGGCGGCACCCAGGGCCGCTGCCGCGCAACCGGGACGCAGTGCCCGCGGCCCTTCCGCCCGGCGCGAGGTCCCGGGCGGCGCGCACACGTGGACGCGGCCGAGGGCCCCGCGCCCGGCCACAGGAGGGGGACCGGACGGACCGCTCGCAGAGGTTCTGGGAAGAAGTCCCTGGAGGCGAAGCCAGTCCAGCCTCTTTCCTCCGGTTGTTTGATTTTCTGGTACTTATTTGTTTTGGAACCGGCGCTCGCGGGTCCCCGCGCAGCGCTGGGAAGTTGCGGGGCGCGTGGGTGTGGGCCCTGCAGCGGCACCCTCGGGCCCTGGCCGGGCTGGGCGCCCGAGAAAAGGGAGGAGACGGGGGGGGGGGCCTGGCTCCCCACGCCTCGCCCAGGGCCCGGCCGCGCGGGCGGGGTGCTGCCCTTAAGTGCTTTCCCCTTCGCCTTTGGGACTTCACAGTAGGGCAGCCGAGGTCCCCTGTTTTTTTTGAGCAGACCCGGGAAGGAGGGAGCCGGGAGGGCTGCGGGGAGGAGGCGCGGCGGAGGCGCGACGCCCGCGATCCCGGCTGTCCGCGCGGGGCGGGGCCGCGCAGGTTCCCGGCGGCTCCAGGTAGCGGAGAGGGAGGCGGCCCGGAGGGGCGGGAGCCTTGAACCTGCCCAGGGGGAAGAGAAACCCGCCTGCGGGCTCGGAGCCGTTTCTTGCAAGGCGAGCGTCAACCAGGCAGGGATTGTTAACCAGGTCAGCGAAATGAGTCTGAGCCCCTTTTCTAGAATCACAGTAGCGGCCACAAGACACTTCCTCCCGTCCCCTCCCTCTTCCCAGCCCCCAACACCCCTCTTCTTTTTCGTTTCTTTGCACGGTTTGTTTCCTTGACAGAAGGTCATATTCATAGTTGTACTCCTGTAACCGCACCAGGTCTGGCAGGTGGGGAGTCGAGTGCATCAGCCTTTGAAAGTCCTCTGACTGTTGGGTCTGAGATCTTGACAGAGCAGATAAAGGAAAAGTTATTTCAGGTCCTTAGTAGAAATTAATCATGCTACTTAGGCGACAGGGACAACTTAGAGCGAGGAAATCGCATGCAAAGCTCAAAGGCGAGTCCCGGTGACTGAGCGAGCCGCCCCAGGCTCGCCCTGCTCCCCCCGGGGCCTCTGCAGGAGCCACACACCACGTTTTCCCCAAGACTGGTTTTGCACATCTCTGCTTCTGTGCTTAATTTTTAAGAGGCGCGGAAGACATGGAATCATCCTTTATTAGCACTGGAAAGTACCTTAGAAATAGAATCCAAGCCCCCATGTATAGGCGAGGAAGCGAGGTCCTGAGAGAGAGGAAGTGATTTGTCCAAGTCACGCAGCTAGGTTCAGGCAGAACAGAACTGGCACCTGGCCTCCAGCCCCGTCCTGCTTGACGCCTGTCCTCTCACCTGCCGGCGGCTGCCCCCTATGGGCGGCTGCGCGTGTTGCTGTTCCTGGGTGCTGAGCTGTTCTGAGGGGTGCCCAGTCACTGGTTTGGAAAATGTAGTCCTCAGTTCTGAAGACGGGACCTCCAGATCCAGCAAGCCTGAAAGTTACATGGAGCTGAATCTCTGACTCCACTTTCAGATTAATCTGGTTTTCTCGGTATCCCTGATATTTCACAGGGAGCCCCTTCAGTGGGGGCTTTCCAAAGAGTTCCCTGTGAACCTGCTGGAAGATGTTGACCTACAGCCCTGGGCTCATAATAACAGTTTTCTTATAATAACAGTTTTTTCGCCTTGTGATGCTTGTGTTTTTTATTAAAGGTACACTATTGTGATGATGATCAGTCAGGAGTTGTCTAGAGCCTCTTGTTTACAGTGTGAAATAGGATTAGGCTCTTGTTTAGGAGGATCGACCCTGAATGAAAGAAATGTTCTAGATTATAAAGACAGTGTAGTGGCCTTTGTCGTTTGTGGGTGGCATTTTAAGTTTGGATCACATCCTACTTGTCAGCATGCAGTCTGGACCTTCAGATTATTGCCCAAAATAATAGTTTTAAATTATAAGAACCTCAAGTTTGGGATTTTTGGTGAGCACTTTTGCCTGACTTCACAGGGTGGGTAATATACACTTGGAAGTTAGTTTGGGAAGACAAAACCTGATATGAGTATAAATTTCCTTTTTTACAATAATAATTTACATCATTATCTTGCTTTATATCATTATTTTTATTCCCAGCTTGATGGATTTCTCAATATTACAATGATAAATTTTAGTGAAATTTCTAAGACAGTGTAATTTTTCCTTACATCTTAAGTTTTATAAGTAAAATTATACCTAAAAGTAATCTGTGGCTGTAAAATTACTCTCATCTACTCAGAATATGATTAATAAACATTAAGGGTAGAGTGCCTTCAAAAGTCATCACAATTCAGGGCCGGCTCCGTGGCTTAGCGGTTAGGTGCGTGCGCTCTGATGCTGGCGGCCCGGGTTCGGATCCCGGGCGCGCCCCGAGGCACCGCTTCTCCGTCCAACGTGAGGCTGGGTCCCACGTACAGCAACTAGAAGGATGTGAACTAGAAGGATGTGAACCTATGACATACAACTGTCTACTGGGGCTTTGGGGGGAAAAACTGAATAAATAAAATCTTTAAAAAAAAAAAAAAAGTCATCACAATTCATAGTTTTGGTCAACCAGGTGAAAGGAAAAGCTCTTTTGAAAACACTAATAGCTTCTTTTTAAATCCATCTGGGGGAATCCCTCAGTTTTGAATTAGGTGAATTTTAAGATATTTCAAATACCATTCAGTCAGAGAAAGAAAACACAAAAGAGTCAGTAGGATTCTGACTATCAAGTGGCCTGATTATTCCCTGGGTTACTTAGGAAACTGAGCATTGTGAACATGGTTGCAAGCTGGATCTACCTGGCCTGGAGTTTTGAGCTGTTTGGTGTGAATGTTATTTACAGAGCAGTTTGAACACACTGGTCTATCCTTCCTCAGGTTTTTAAATCCTCTCCTCTTAGATTCTCTTAACCTTCTGATCTTTAAGGAATGACTATAATTATATTGTTGGGTGTATTACTTCTTGAATTTTTTTCTCTTAATAAAACACCAGTCCCATTGGAATAACATAATTGAGTTTTTTATTGTATTTAGAAAATATTATTTGAACGATGTGATGTGTGCCAAAGATTTTGAGTGTGTACTTGTATAAAGGACTATTGCCCTTCACATTAAGTTTTAAACTTAAACCTTCATTGGTTGGGAAGTTGCCAAATGTGTAACTTGTCACTAGTCTAACAGTAATAGCAGGTTTAAACATGCAGAGCCATAAGAAGGTGCCAGGCCCTTTGCCGTCTCTGTGGATACCAATAACAGCAGAACCAGTTGATAATACTGGAGCCACAGAATGCAGAAAACAATCTTGTTGTGCAAGTTTTCAAAGTTCCATCTTAGTAACCTTTGAAAAGGTTGTGGAGGAGTTTTTGTGTAAGTTTTGTAATCCAGTAGTTTAGATCTTCTTGTTTCAGTCCGAGTCTGCCCAACTTCTATTTCTGCAGCATCTACAGTAGTGACGAGGATGATGAAGACATTGACATGTGTGACCACGACTATGACGGGCTGCTCCCCAAGTCTGGAAAGCGTCACTTGGGGAAAACGAGGTGGACCCGGGAAGAGGTAACTAATTACATATCAAAACATGGAGGAAACCTAGAGTGGATCAATTCATGAAAAACGAAATTCCCCCTAAACTGCAGGTGCTCAGACTCATTTGCGGGCTCTTTGAAATCTTATCCCAGTGCAGCACGCTTACCCCTCAGCACTCCCCGTGGACACCCTGCCGTCCGTTTCTGGACTCGCTGTAGTTCTGAATGTCCTCTCCTTCTCGCTTCATGTCTCACCTGTGGTTCCCTCTGCCTATTCTGTTCTGCTCTTTCGCCCCCACAACTTTGTACTACTTCTTTGCCTGTGAAGACATCACCTCTGCTATGAAGCCATCCCTGGCTTCCCCAGACAGGCTGGGTGCATCCTGCAACCACTGGATATGTGTTCTTACTAATTGTTGCTGTAACTTATATGCCTCCTCCAGTAGACTACAAGTCTGCTGAGGGCAGGGCTCCACGGCTGTTCATTTTTGGGTTCCCTGATCCCAGAATTGCTTGACACAAAGTGAGATACTAACAAGTGTTCGCTGAACAAAGGAATGAGTTGCCATTTCCAAAAATAAAACAAACACAAGAATAAAACACTCATAGAACTCGTCTTGTTAGAATAAATTCATTAATATTCTTGATATATAATATATAATATTTCACAGAACTGTATTCATGAATGTCTGTTCTAAAAGCATTCGGTGATGGACGGAGATGTATCTGCTTCTTACCTTTCTTTTTCTGTTAGCTTATTGAAAAGAAAGCTTGATCTTTGTAGGAATGGAAAAATACTTAAAGAGCAAAATTATTAATGTATGGAAAGGTTGCTTTTTCTTTAAAGTTCTCAAAAAATTTTGTAACTGATTTGAGGGGATTTTATGTTAGAATAAATGATATTGACTCTTCTTCAGTTTCATTCCGCCCCCCTTCACTTAAAGCACAGCCCCTGCTGGCGGGCAGGCAGGATTTCCAGTGAGGGCCAGAGAAAATGTGTATTTTACTATGGAAACTGTGCACTTGGATGATCCTTAGAGATACAGAAACTCTGTGGTTAACACTGGTTTCCTAATTCCTGTGGCTGTGTCCTACCTGGGACCCCTGTTGTGTGTGAAATTTACCTTTGCAGAAACATAAGGGTTCCCTTTTGCTTGAGAAAACACCTTTAGAAAGACACTTGTGAACTGAAAGATTTCCCTCTGATGTTTCGTGTCTGCTGTGTTCTAATAAGTTTGGCCTCATTTAAATTGTGAGTATGTTGATACAAAAACTAAATGATTTTCTTACATCATACACACCTTTGAGTTTAATTAAGAAAAGTCATCTTCCGTTTTTTACATGAAAGAGGTTGAACTATTTCTTAGTCGAGATTCTATCTATTGCCATAGTTAATGTCCATTGAATCTAACATTGGAGTTCGTTATTTTTTTCCCCACAAAGTGAAACTTTTAATAGTTTCCATATATAAAACATTCAAGGAGCCAGGCATTATGCTAAATGTTTTGCCTGGTTACTTCACGTAATCCCCAAATAACACCCCTGACATCAGCATCCCCACTGTGTAGATGACAACACTAAGGCCCGGAAAAACCAAACAATACAGCCAAGCTTGTACAACTAATCAATAGCTGAGTCAAGATTCAGACTCTGGTCTGTCTGACTCTAAATAAATCTATGCTTTAAACCAGTCTATTACATTAATATCTGATGTATTTGGATATTTTTGATAGGTTTTTTTCTGGATTGGATTATTGGGGTGGTTCCCTTTTACTCTAACTTGAGTAGAGTTATACAGTACATGACTGATATCCTGGGATTACTTTTAAATGTCTTAGGATGAAAAGCTAAAGAAACTGGTGGAACAGAATGGAACAGATGACTGGAAAGTTATTGCCAATTACCTCCCGGTAAGTTAGTAATTTTTCTTTCTGTAAAAGGAAATCTTCTCCCAAAGATTTGAATAAGATATTCTAGGAGAGGATGTTAAGGCATTATGTATTTGTTCATATATGGGAAGTAGAGGGAGAAATGCCTCATCCATAACTTATAGTTTATATTGTAATGCATATAATTGGGGTTTCTAAATAGATTGTCAAAGGACTTCTACATTTTTTAAACTTTTACTTCTTATTTTGTCTTTTCATTTACTAGGATAATAGAAATTAGCATTCTGATGATTTGTTATGTGGTCGATGACTAAACTCATGATATTTCCCCCAAGTCAGCTTCTTTTAAATTTCCTGTTTTTTTCAATAGCCATACTTCTGTTCCCCTGGTTCAAAATTTTGGAGTCCTTTTAGACTCATGCCCTACACCCAAGCAGTGACTAAGGAATTGGGCATTCTTTTATTTCATTCTCCTTGCTGGTCCACAGATTCGCCCCGTCCCTCTTCTCTGGCTCCTAACTGGCCTCTCCGCCTGTAGCTTCCCACTTTTCCATCCACCCCAAACACCACTGGCAGATGGAGCTTCCTAAAATGCAGCTGTACCTTATCTTTTCAACTGATAGCAGTGACTTAGAGTCTCACACACTAGGGACCTGCTTTGACCTGGTGCCCCAGCACCCTCCCGTAGGGCCCCAGCATCCAGCTCCAGTTCTGTTTCCTACTTCCTCTCTGTAAGCAGGTTTGCTTGAGTTCGTTTCTGGTTTCCCTCCTCTGGGCTTTTGTCCCTGGTGATGCCACCTCCTAGAATGTTCCATCCATCCTTCAAAGTCGGTATCAAGAGCTTTTCCGTACTCCTCCTAAGCAAATACAATTTCTCCTCCCAAGGAGACACTCTTTTTCCCACCCCAATATCATTTTGCTTTGGTTTCCTCTTGCATGTGAATCAAATTCTGCCTTCTATTAGTTAATTATATATTTGTCTTTTCCTGCTTATAAGATTACAAGCCCTTGTAAGGTAGGGCCTATCTTTATTCATCCTTGCTCTGCAAAACTAATACTTGTGGCCCTAAATTGAAGCACATCTCTTACTTTGAGTGGGAAGCAAACTTGAGTCATGTAGAGTGGGTTTCCATAAACGCCCGACCTTAATGTGGGAATCTCAGCAGGTCTTAGCCTTAGTCTACGTAGGTACTTCCACACGCAGCAGACTGAGGTTAAGGTTCAGTTAAATTGACAGCCATATGTGCAACATGATGGTCCTTTAGTTCACGTGGCGGGACTGTTTCCCTCAGGAGGCAGAGCTTCTGCTTGTAGACACGACTTTGATATAGTCTTTGCATGTTCTTTAGCTGTAAGTAATGAGGGATAGATGGGCTCTCCAAACATGCCCTAAAATGTTCTTGAATGTTTCCACAGTATGTCGTCTATATGTGATTAATGTTACAGCAGTCTTCATGTGCCTCGCCCGTCTTGTCTGTATGACAGCGTGTACTTTATCTTACTTGTCTAGAATCGAACAGACGTGCAGTGCCAGCACCGATGGCAGAAAGTGCTAAACCCTGAGCTCATCAAAGGTCCTTGGACCAAAGAAGAAGATCAGAGAGTAAGTTCTTTCTTCACTGGCGTGTGAATCACAATTGAGAATATTCCCCAGACGTCTCTGTTGAATGTTTCCCAACTTGAGGAAACAGGTAACTCGTGCACACAGGAAGCAGAGCGCTCTAGTCCCAGATTTCCAATGAATGAAAGCAGATTTTTAGAAATTTTCTAAGATCTTGTAACACTGAAGAATGCTTACCCTGACTCATTACATAACATTAAAACACAGGTTATTTTTGTGTGTTTATCTGAAGGTGATAGAGCTTGTTCAGAAATACGGTCCGAAACGTTGGTCTGTTATTGCCAAGCACTTAAAGGGGAGAATTGGAAAGCAATGTAGGGAGAGGTGGCATAACCACTTGAATCCAGAAGTTAAGAAAACCTCCTGGACAGAAGAGGAAGACAGAATTATTTACCAGGCACACAAGAGGCTGGGGAACAGATGGGCAGAAATCGCAAAGCTACTGCCTGGACGGTAATAATATGTCAACAAATATATTGATTGGGAAGAAAGAGGGAGCGGGTGTTGAACATTCTGTTTTAAATGTATGGTGAGTGAATTACATTCCGTAGATCGTAAGTGTTTCTTTAGATAAACCAGATCCATAGCTTTTAGAAGTGGAGGAGATCTTAGAGTTTATCTGGTTGAGGACTTCCAGAATCCACCACCAGTGAGTCTTGGCCAAGTCATCAAGCTTTCCTCTGTCTCAGTGGCCCCATTTGCATAGTGAGTAATAACCTGCTTCACAGGGCCAATGTTAGTATCAAGTAGAATTCAAAACTCTAAACACGTAGAAGGAAACTGAGGACAGACAGTTGGTCTCTGGTCTGAGTTCACACAGCTGGTTAAGTGACCAGAAAGAACTCAGCTACCCTTTTCCTAATTCCACATTGGTTTCATTATACCACTTGGCTTATTTTTTTTCTTTTGAATGAAGAAATAGTGTATTCTAGAATTATCCTACTCCTTCCAGGTTTTTAAATAATGTCAGTGTTATCCTTTCTTTTTTAATGAATAAGGCACAAAAACAACCTCATAAGGGATATTTCTGGAAGCTCATTTTTGTCTCACTTTCTCCACTTAAGCAGTTTGTAACATTTTAATTTTGAAAATACTTTTTATTATAAATCTTACATAAAAAATAATGTAAGATATAAACTATTTTTATTCTTGAGCTTCATAGCCCAAGAGTGGAGAAAGGGTGATTTCCAAGAAGGCCATGGCTCTGTTGGCTTATGTGGCGTTTTCTTGTGAAGTTCCAAAGCATTTCCTCCCTCACGATTCGGTGTAAGCTTACAGAATTCAAGACGTTGATAAAAGGAGGCCTTTTCTCCCATATGGTCTGAGAGGATATTCTAAAAATTTAAGGGGCCATTGAACTTCCTCTTTCTTTAGCATACATTCCCCTACCCCCATCGAAATAGTAAAAGAAAGGCTTAAAACGGTTTTTTTGAATTGAGAAACTGTTTTCCTGAGAATTGAAAGGCATTAGTAAAAATGCTTTGCAGTTTGAAAATATATTGGGAGTTAGCATCTCTTCCTTCTGGATCCCATTTTCCATCCTCACCTCTGTCTGGTATAGAACAACTTGAGGTGGTTTTCAAAAGGTGGGAGTTTTTTTGACTCAAAATTTCTGGCTAGTGCTATTCAAGAACAAGAGTGGACAGTAGGGTGGCAGCAACATCGTTATCATTGACCAGACGTCACTGAGTGCCTGTTGTGGTGCACAGGCCAAGCCACACTCAAAGGAGCAGTTTTCTAGGGCGGCTGGAACTTTAAGTTGTCTTAGAGTCTTGTACCACGAACAGTCAGAATAAATATGAAGGGTTGTTGTATTGAAAATACTCTTTTATCAAGGAAACAAAACGTTAAAAGATTTCAAAATTTACAGAAAGCTACATATGTTCTGTATTATGTAATTAAGATCAATCTGTGGATTTTTAATTAGGTAACAGGAGAAGCATGATTTTAGGAGGTAGAGAAGACTGAAACCATTAAAAAGAAAAAACACTGTTAGTGGACCAAATGAAAAGATCTCTGTTAGAAACAGTTTTCTGTCAATTAACCCTAATCTGAATTGAAATTTTTGTTTGTAAAATGTTTATGTGATATATTTCTGTGCAGAACTGATAATGCTATCAAGAACCACTGGAATTCTACAATGCGTCGGAAGGTCGAACAGGAAGGCTATCTGCAGGAGTCTTCTAAAGCCAGCCAGCCAGCAGTGGCCACAAGTTTTCAGAAGAACAGTCATTTGATGGGCTTTGCTCACACCCCACCTTCAGCTCAGCTCACCCCGGCGGGCCAGCCCTCAGTTAACAATGACTATTCCTATTACCACATTTCTGAAGCACAGAATGTAAGCCATCCTGAGACCTTACTGTAATGAGAGAGATGGTTATTTTAGCTCCTGGTACTAGTAATAATACCTGGCAGCTGCATCCTTGTCAGAGAGCTTTCGTAAACGTGATCACAATGGATCAGTTAGGGGCAGATGTTGTTGTCCCTGATCTGTATCCGGAAACAAGGAGGTTCAGTGACTTGTCCGGGATCACACAGCTCAGAGTGCAGACTAGAGTCCCAATCGTTTGATTCTAACTTGCTGCTTCAGGTCTAGTTTGAAGTTAGCTTTTGAATGTAAATTTACTTAACAGGGTACAGCTGGAGAAGAATGGGCACATGGAGATGCCGTTGTATGTAAGCTAATATTTTTCTCTTCCAAAATGAAAAGTGGGAGCACTATTACAGTTAAAGAGGAGATAGTTTGAGACTGATGTTCAACAGATAATTGTCAGTTCCAGTCTGGTAGTAATCTAGCAGAAAGGTCTTAGTTTCTTCGTTCAGTACGTGTCTCCCTTCTCACTCTGAGTCAGGAACAGTTTCGTGACCCCACTGTCTACTGTCTCCCTTTATCCTCCTTTGAATCAGTGTAATTCCTTCTTCATTTCTCGATATTTAGGGAAAGAAATATTCAGAGTGGGTGGTAAAAGAAGAACAAAGAGAAAAAAATCAAGAAACTATCATCTTAAAATTAACAATAGTAAATGATGAAACTCACCCAAGAAGACAGAGCTCATATGCAAATTCTATGCAAAACCTATTCATAAATAGATTTACTCTTCTCTATCTGTTCCATGTATTTGACTACAAACTTTCCAGAAAGGTCTCAGGTGAATGAACTATCATCAGAGGTTCTGTGCTCTTTACTAAACTTCATAATTATTCCCAGAAAAAGATTTTTATTTATAAGCAGCTAGTGCATCAGTTTTTCCCATCAAAACTTCTTTCATACATTCATGGATGTATTTTAGATTGTATTTTTGATCGTGTTTTTCTCTAAGGAATACTTCCTGCCAGGATCCATGAGCACTTCAGTTTCTTCCTCTATCTTGCTCTAGCTGTTGAGCCATTGTGAAAGGCTTGGCTAAAATTTCAAATTAGAGTTGGGTTTTTTTTTTTTTATTGCTTAGTGAATTTTATCAGTGAAGTCTTTTTTTCCTTAGTCCCAGAGCAGAACCTCAGGAAGCCAAGTCCCCTGAAGCATGTGTAACCATGAATGACTCGGCCTTTGTTTGTTTTGCTTTGTGATCTAGGTCTCCGGTCACGTCCCATATCCTGTAGCGTTACATGTAAATATAGTCAATGTCCCTCAGCCAGCTGCTGCAGCCATTCAGGTAAGATCATTTCATCAAGAAACTCCTCATTAGCTGGTCAAAGCACAGCTCCATTTCTTTCATCTAAACACTTACTTCCACCTGACCCACTGAAGTAACAAGCACAGGGAACAGTGGAGGGGCGGAGTCCCCTCCACTACCTGCTCCAGTCCCCCAGTCTTCACTCTGCGGTGAATTTGCCCCAATTCTCTGACTCTCTGATGTTGTAAGTGAAACAACTCGTCAGTCAGCGTCCACTGTGGCCTCAGATTTCACGTCCCTTGCTCCATCTGGAATAAGATCCGCGAGGATTTCTCGGCGGCCAGATTGGGTTGGCGTTGGTTTCCCGCCAGGCTCTCTGGGCTGTGTGGTCCCTGGTGACGGCAGGCTGCAACCGCTGTGTTTACAGCTTCCAATCAGGCCTTTGTCATTTTTTCTCTCTTAACTTCTAATTTCAGAGACACTATAATGATGAAGACCCTGAGAAAGAAAAGCGAATAAAGGAGTTAGAGTTGCTCCTCATGTCGACCGAGAATGAGCTCAGAGGACAGCAGGTCCCGGTGAGAACGGGCCCTGCGCTCGTATGGGGGGTGGTGGCTTCCCCCCGGGCCCCTCTGTGCCTTCTCCCTTCTCTTGTCAACATGACGTTAATCACGACGCTCTGTATCTGTTAACAATGTCTAAACACGCGAAGTTGCTTGTAATAAAGTGCAGTTGGTGTCCGAACATTGACTAAACTGGAAGTAGTCCTTTTGTGCTGAATTAGAAACTCAGTATCCACTTGTGATTGTCATCATCAGTTTTTTCTTCAGAAGGACTGTAATCAATTCAAAGACTAACACCAATGAAAATTTGCATTTTTTTACAAAGCTGTGTATCGTTTGGTGCCTATTCATTTGATTTTTTCTTGTTCTATTATTTTTCTTAACCTAGATTTTCATACTTTATCATTTCAGACATGATTTGATTCATGTTCAGTATATACATGTGAAAAGATATATATCATCTCTCCCTAAATAACATTAGCTGCTCTCTTTTGTTTGCATGCACGAGAGCTGTGTGGACCTTCACTGAATTCTGACATCTTTTTTGGTGATTGGGCACCAAACTGGGAAAGCAGACTGTACTTTGTAACATTTGTAGTTAGCCAACAAAGGAGTAAAAGAGAGATGATACCTAATAGGTATTCTTAGGAATAAATTTCCTTTTGGTTAAATAGTGAAATGATTATGTGCATCTGTTAGTTGGACCACTTTTTAACTTGAGTTAATGTTTTGCAATTGCTCCTGTTGCATGGTCATGCTGAAAGGAGACTTCTGTTAATTTGCTCTTCTGCTTTCCTAACCACGTTGATTGGGCAGCCCTTCACTGCATCCGTGCAATCCGTAGCATTAGAAAGGGACAGAGGCAGTGAGAACATATGCAGATGAAGGCAACTCTGACTCTCAAATCCTCCGGCCTTTTTCTAGGTTAGGACGAGAATAGGACAATTCTTAATTCGCAGCGAACATTTATGGTCCTATTGGAAATTATGTTAAAGTGGATTTTTGAGACACTCCATTTGAGAGTTGTCCTGTGTAACACAGTCCCTCTATTTGCAGTTTTGACAAAATGATGACAACTCAGGTAATCACGCCAATGACCGACTATGGCACTATTCAAAAGCAGGGTCTTGCATTGATGAAAGGAAACATCTTGACAACTGTTTCATAGGCGCAAGTTCTGGATGATGCAACCACTTTTATCTTTCCTCCAACAGCATCTGATACCTTGTGCAACTTCGTTGCTAAGTTCCTTCTCCCTTTCTTCTCCCCGCGCTTTCTTTATGCCCCTGCCCCCCTCCTCAGACACAGAACCACACGTGCAGCTACCCCGGCTGGCACAGCACCACCATTGCTGACCACACCAGACCCCATGGAGACAGTGCACCTGTTTCCTGTTTGGAAGAACACCACTCCACTGCGTCTCTGCCTGCGGATCCCGGCTCCCTCCCTGAAGAGAGCGCGTCTCCAGCGAGGTGCATGATCGTCCACCAAGGCACCATTCTGGACAATGTTAAGAACCTCTTAGAATTTGCAGAAACACTTCAGTTTATAGATTCTGTAAGTAGAATTGTTAAGGCAAGTGAATGTTTTTGAAGGGGAATTAGGAAACCCATTCCTCAACTCATTGCCATTTTCTATGGCAAATATCATTTTATTAGCATATATTAATGTAAAGGTAAAAATATGATGTTAGTCTTTGTGTATATGTTTTCTCAAAGATTTGATGTCATAGGCTACCCACAGAAAAGGTAGCTTTCACACATTTCCTTCAAAATGCATGTATTTTAAAATAGTGAAGTTAATGACCTATAAGTAGAGCTTGGGTTTGGGGAATGATGTTTGAGTTATTTTTAACTCTTTTTTACTTTGTTTACTCCTTTGTGTTTCTCTAGAATTGTGCTTTGCTTTTGGATAGCACATTAAGAATTATGTTTTTTCAAAGCTCAAAGCAATCTTTCAAGGTATTTGAAGTGGTAATAAGCTCATTGGGGGTGCATGGCTTTCTCCACAAAACATTGATTATTGACTCCCAGTCTCAATTGGTTCACCGAGAGAAACCATCTTTAGTGAAACAGACTTGAGTTCAGTACCTCAAAAGCAGACACGCAATTCCTTTCCTTTGTTTCTTGGTTGGTTGAAAAGCATTTATTGCATACCCATCAGACAGGGGGTGAACACTGCCAAAGTGTGCCAGCTGGAAAATGTTTCCTTTGTGCTTTCGATGGCGTGCAAATAATAGAGTACCGGGAGGTCCCTGCCATGCACATGTAGGACCAGCCTTGAGAAGCATGTAGACCTAGCGTGCAGGGTACCAGAACCATTGTTAGTCCTGAAGCTGTTTCTCAAGAAGTCAAACAGGCGGGCCAAGTGTTTTCTCTGCATTCAGCATCTCTCTCCCAGTGCTGTGTTTCAGGTGACGGCACTTATCAGGCACACACTGTCTCAAAGTCCTGCGCCTCCCACATTGTTTCAGGATTCTTCATCACGGTGTGATCTCAGCAGTTTTGAGTTCTTTGAAGAAGCAGATTTTTCTCCTAGCCAACATCATGCAGGCAAAGCCCTACAGCTTCAGCAAAGAGAGGGCAGTGTGACTAGACCTGCAGGAGAGCCTAGCACGAGGGTGAACAAACGCAAGTTGAGTGAGGGTTCGCCCGACCCGATCACGCCTGCCCCTCCTGCGAGGCACAGCACAATTCCACTGGTCATCCTTCGAACAAAGCGGGGCCAGGCCGGCCCCTTGGCCCCTGGAGACTCTAGCTCCTTCACATCTGCTGACGTCAGCAGTTCAACTCCCCAGCGTTCCCCTGTCAAAAGCCTACCCTTCTCCCCCTCGCAGGTAGAGCACAGTTTCTGCACAGCTGCTACTAATTTTCAACAGACACCTGAGCCTTAATAATCTAGAAACTAATCCTTTGGAACAAATGACTAATTCCTGTCGCCCTCACTGATTTCGTTGCATCTAGCTGTGGCTAAGTCACACAGCCTCCCGAAGTGTAGGCTGTCTGTAGCTGAATGATGATTTTGCCCTCATTCTCTCTTACTCTTGGGTGATTTGGAAGATGGTGAGTTGCATGGAGTCTGCTTTTATTTCCTTCAACACTAGACCTTAATATTTCTGTCCCTTCCTCCTCTCCCATCCCTTCCTACCTTTTACCAACTTTAACAGATTGTCTGCTATTTGCTCACTTATTATCACGTGATTCACTGACCCAGGGGAGGAGGGAAGCAAACATGTTCAGATCACATTTGGGTGGCAGCTAGACATTTTAAAGGTTCCAATTCGTCTTTAAGTGGGAAAGTTTTGGAAGAGGATGAGGAACAAAAGCTTAAGGAAAATAACATGTTTAACTTGAGTTTCTCAACATTGGCTCTTTTGAATTGGGCCATAATATTTTATTAGCACAGTTTTTGCCAATGAATATTGTTGTTTCATATAGTTTTTTATATGGCAATTATAATTCTTTTTAGAGACTTGTGTTCCTTAATTATTAAAATAATTGAAGTTAATAGACAATTTGGCACTTTAATACATTTTTCCAATTATGTCTGTTAAGTTTGTTTTAGGAACAGCTTTAAATATGAACAAATGATACTCCCATTCAGAAAATTATCTTGCTTTTTGCTTGTATTTTCCAAGCTGTGTTCTGAAGAATATTAGTTCTGCAAGACTTTAATGATGGTCCAGAAAAACATCTAAATATCTAGGTATATAAGTTTGGGAGACACTGAATCCAGCAAAGTTATAAATTGGTTTCTTTACTGCAGGAACTCTCAGAACTTTTAATATACTTGTGTGCATTGTGATTTCCGGGAGGAGATAAGATATGTGTTTCCCAAACTTATTTTACCTTGGAGCCATTTGAGGAACACTTATGATTTTCCTAGAACGTTAGGAACACAGCTTATCATTCAAGAATTTTCCCCATAATATAAACCTTCTATAATAATGGGTCATAGATCATTAAAGAGAGAAAACAGAATATGAAAGAAAAACAATAGTTACTTTCCAAAAAATCACTTTAATGATTTTAATGTTAAGGAAGAGTGCATCTCATTCTCTTTAATGGCAAGTGCCATTTACTCAGAGTATTTTCTTAGGATTTTACAAGTTTTTAAGCATTGACCTGAGATATTATTTCTTGGAAATCGTGCTCCAAATCTTGAGTGCTCGACTGAAACAAGATAATACCCTGCCCAACGCCCCGTGCTTGTTAGCATCTTTATTATTTTATAGAGCGGGTCAGTAAAACATGCTTGCTTGTTATCAAGGTGTGATGTTTAAATTGGGCTGAATAAAGAATCGCTGTTTAATCCGAGTAATGTTTTCTTCTTTCTTCCCATATCTAGTTCTTAAACACTTCCAGTAACCATGAAAACTTAGACTTGGAAATGCCTTCTTTAACTTCCACCCCTCTCAATGGTCACAAATTGACTGTTACAACACCATTTCATAGAGACCAGACTGTGAAAACCCAAAAGGAAAATGCTATGTAAGTCCTTGGTTCAAGAATAAAATTATTTATTTACTTACATTTTTTAATGGAATATAGTCCTCAACTGTCTGATCCGTTTGTATGTATATAACATTGCTGATCCACTTGTATGTGCATGATCATCATGTCCCCACACTGCGTACATCTGTCCTGGGCATGTTACGACTACCTAGAGGTGTCCGGTGGGAGGATAAACTAAATTACCTTTTATAGTTCACTTCAGAATTTCCTGTATACACACAGGTAATTTTCATATAACTTTTCCATTCAGTTTTTCTGTTTGTTAATTAGGCCTTTTCTTCTTCACTGAAAACAAGATTTTTCAACCTCCTTTCCTCTCTAATTATAAACTTCAGAATAGGACTGGGTGTGGTTCTTTACTTAGCTCATATTTTTTTAATCTTTTTGAAATTTATCTATAGATAGGATCTATTCCGACATCCTCAGGAATATTACATGATTAGAAGCCAAGGTGTGATTAAGCAATCATTTGTATTCAATAAAGACTTAACTCAAAGAAATGGCAGAGAACATCAACATGAGTTATAAGAAACCTTTAAAAGAAATGTAATCTTAGTATTTCCAAGTACAACAAGTACATTTTAAAAGGTTAACTTATGTTCTCTCTTGAGGGCCCCATTTTAATGAATAAATAAAATTGATTTGTAAGTGACACAGATCTTCACAACGCTCATGGTGATTGCAAAGACCTAGGGGCACTGCATGTGTCTTCAGAACGGTTAAAGAAAGATGAAAAGTATTTTAATGCTCTTAGTCTTAAAGGCATAATATTTTGAAATATTGAAAAATATATGACGTACAATAATACATATATAATTAATCAGCAAATCCAGTTCCATATTGATAACAGAGTTTATTGTATTCAGTAGAAAAGTATCAAATTTAATAGGTAGAACAAAGTAAGGCACATACGTTCTTTCATATTGACCAACACTTGCTTCCTTTTTAAAGTTTTAGAACTCCAGCTATCAAAAGGTCAGTCCTGGAAAGCTCTCCGAGAACTCCTACACCCTTCAAACATGCACTCGCAGCTCAAGAAATTAAATACGGTCCCCTGAAGATGCTAGTAAGTTTTAGCAAAGTTCTTGGGTTTAGTTGGTCTCTTAGTACAGACAGAAATTCTCGTCTAACGCAAACATACCCGCTCTTCCCTTCAGCCTCAGACGCCGTCTCATCTAGTAGAAGACCTGCAGGACGTGATCAAGCAGGAATCCGATGAGTCTGCCGTTGTTGCTGAGTTTCAAGAAAATGGGCCACCTCTACTGAAGAAGATCAAGCAAGAGGTAAACACGAGATCCTTCGAGAGGAACAAGCTGTGGATCCTGCTCTCTTGGTTCCTTGTGGGCAGCTTGGTGTGTCTGGCGTTGGCACTGTGTAGCAACAACACTTTTTATACAAGATGCAGTTAAGAGGGTCTGCCGGACTGTAGGCCTGTAACCTTCCATTTGAGAAGCCAAGCCACTTCTCTCTACTTCCTGTTTGAGCAGAAAACATACTAGAGAGGGTAAAGGAAAGAGAAGGAAGCACCTTTTCACTGTACTTTTTCATCACTGATACATAGATGGACAGATGACTGATACATAGATATTCAATTTTTGGATGTCATGGAGAATTGAAGTTTAAATTAAAATAATAGTATCTTTAATTCATAGTATAAAGGAAAGAGAATCTAACTTGCAAGGATCAAAATTTCAGCTTGGTGTCAAAAGCATTTCTAACAGGTTAGATACACGGCCTCTTGAATTCATTTTCAAAATAAAGATAAGTGTTTAAGAGATTGACCAGAAATTTACTTTTTTTTTTTTTTAGCTTTATTGAGATGTAATTGAGAAATAAAATTGTAAGATATTTAAAGGGTGCAACATGATGGTTGGAACATGTACACATTGTGAAAGTGTTCTCCATCGCCTCATATATGTCCATTTTTTTTGCTGAGAACATTTCAGTTCTACTTTCTTAGCAAATTTCAGTTATACAATCCAGTGTTGTCAATTATAGTCACCACGTTATTCATCTCACAGAAATTGACTCTTGAGTGTACATGTTTCACGGGAGTTCTTGTTCTAGAAACAACAAAGCACTTCCTGTTTGCTTTTAGGTGGAATCTCCAACTGATAAAGCAGGAAACTTCTTCTGCTCAAACCACTGGGAAGGGGAGAGTCTGAACACCCAGCTGTTCACACAGGCTTCGCCTGTGGCAGATGTGCCAGTAAGTACACGCCCCTGCATGAGATGCTGGCGCCTCGCAGAATTCTGTGGGGCCTGTGGGGCTCCTGTGGTTTCAGCACCCTTCGATGCATCATGTTTCTAAATATGCTGTCTCTTGTGATTATTTTCTTATGATTATCAACTTTGAATATAAAGTTGGGATTTTGTTATATATTGGAAATAGATTCTGTTCTATTGTAGATTTTTTCATTATTTATTTTCTTATGATTTGCGAGTCTTGGACACTTAAAAAATCTGCTGCATGAGTATACATAGTCTATGAAAACAGAATGTTAATTTTTACATTTTCTTTTATTTATTTTTCTTTTCAATGTGGTATTTCCTCATTGAGTTGTCTCCTCTTCGTTTTATGTCACATCTAGCATAGTGCCAACCACGGTGTCTACAGTAGATGCCTTTTATTGTACCGGATGTTTGCGTTACCTTGGTGACCACCATTTTTTTTAATGGACTTTTTTTTTAGGGCAGTTTTGGGTTCACAGCAAAGTTGAGCTGAAGGTACAGAGATTTCCCATATACCCTCTGCCCCTGCACATGCACGGCCTTCTCCATTATCAACATCCCCCATCAGATGGTACATTTGTTACAACTGATGAACCAACATTGACACATAGTCACCCAAAGTCCACAGTTTATATTGGGGTTCACTCTTGGTGTTGGGCATTCTATGGGCTTGGACAAATTTATGACATGTATCCGCCATTTTAGTATCATACAGAGTAGTTTCACTGCCCTAAAAATCCTCTGTGCTCCATCTAGTCATCCCTCCTTCCCCCAACCCCTGGCAACCACTGATCTTTTCACTGTCTCTTTAGTTTTGCCTTTTCCAAAATCATTCAGTATGTAGCCTTTTCAGACTTAATAATATGGACTTGTGTTTCCTCCATGCCTTTTCACAGCTTGATAGCTCATTTCTTCTTAGCACTTAGTTGCCACCATTTTTAAAGTTTGTAATTTGTGGATGGTTGTCCTTTATGGAGAATCAGAGCTAATAACAATTGATAATATTTTTTCAGTACATACTAAGTGGTAAGTGCTATTCTAAGAGCTTTAGAGGCATTCACTCATTTAATCCTCACAACAACAAGACAAGGTTGGTCACATTCTCATTTCCACAATACCAACTGGGAAACTGAGGCACAGGAAGGCTTAGTCACTTGCTCAAGATTGTATAGCTAGAAAGCGGTGGTTCTGGGTTAGAACTCAGAAAGTCTAGTCTAAATTCCATACTTTTAACCATTATACTGTACTGCCGTTAATTTGTAGCTCTAAAATATTTCTGTACCAGTATATGAGATAAACAGTTCTCTCACCAGAGCTTAGTAAACCTTTCATTTTTAAAAGCTTGTATTGATTAATTCATTTAACAGATGTTTTTTTGAGTGCCTGTCCCATGCCTGGAACTGTGTGGACCCTGAAGCTTTTTATTTTAGTGATGTAAATCCCTATTTTAGTGATGATGAATCCCAATGGGATTCAGGCTAAGACAGAGCTGAATTCTCATCTTAGCTCATTGAGAAGAGAATTTCTGGCAGATAACCTTTATTTTTTCCTGCTAATATGTATCACCTCACAGTAATCTACTCTCTAAAGTGTCAGAATTATGTCAGCTCTCATATCCAACCTCATTTAAATTTCAAATTATTCTCTTTCCCTTTTAGAATATTCTTACCAGTTCCGTTTTAATGACGCCAGTCTCAGAAGATGAAGACAATGTTCTCAAAGCATTTACAGTACCTAAGAACAGGTCCCTGGCGAGTCCCTTGCAGGTAATTACGGTTCCAACGTTGGTGTCTTAAAAGTCATTCGCTGAGCAACTGTCATCTTGTTTTGTTTTTTTTTTAAACATTTTAGACATAGAAGAGTAATGCTTTTAAACAACTCTTGGTGTCTAAAAAACTCCTAAAATTCCTTGTTGCCACTCGTATGAGACACCTGGAGGGTTTTATTAGACCAGGTCCCAAAGCTTGGTGAAGTGAGACATTTCTCACGGTGACAGAGACTAAGATCATGTATACACATGTCAAGATCTCCTTCTGCTTTTAAATATTTATAACAAGTTTATTGGTATAGTTTACTGTTTGCTCCAAAATTTTTATTTTTTACTCTCCATCCCTAAGCCATCAAAACTCAGACACTGTTTACATTTTAAATGAAGTTTGAAATTAGCTAGCTAGAAAATAATTACAATATATTTGACTATCAGACTGAGAAAGTCACCTGTCAATGTTGCGTGCTGATCTGCAGATGACCATCTGCTGTTGGGTTTTAATATCAAAAGGGATTTATTTCCTTTGGAACTCTGAACGAGGTGTGTGTTGATGAAACGCAACAAATTCCAAATTAATCCTGAGCCAAATGTAAATAAGAATGCAAATTTACTCCCCTAAATTATTTAAAGCGGTTCCCCTCATTGAATAGCCCAGTACCCAGCCACCTGCAGAGTCCTCCCCTCTGTCCCCCTGAGCTACAGTGGGGGGACGCCGTCAGCCCTGGAGCACGTAGAGAACCTGGTTCAGCAGTGGGAAGGCGTGTTTGTGCTGCGAGGTGGAGGCCCTGTAATAGGATGGTGTGCCTTGAGAGCTTGCCCTTCCCTTAAAGGGCTTTCCCGTCATTGTAGTAGGCCTTCTCTCTCCAAATTGTGAGAATCTTAAAACTTTTCTTTTTTAAGTATTTGCGATATTTAGCATCATTTTTTAAGTCATACAAATACAGCTGGAAGGGCTGTAGGCACATGCTGTTTCTTAGTTCAGTCAGATTGCTTCCCTTGTGGCCTCCATCTGATCCACTGCTTTGGTGAAAGATGACTGTGGCCTGCAGTGTGGGGTAGGGACAGATGGTACTTGTGGGGAATTTGGAGTCCTGAGCCAGTCAGGCCCCAGTGGGCCCCATGTGGAGAAGACGCAGAATATCACAGAGAATTGGGAGATGAGGAGGAGCACAAACCCCGAAGAGGCAAAGAGGGACACAGAAAGTGGGTGGGAAGGACGTCGAGGCAGAGGTCAGCCATTTCAGCATCTTACCTAGGCTGCTGCTGGCCCCAGAAGGGAAGCGCTTCCTTTGGTCTTCTTTCTCTCCTCTTTCCTAAATCCCTTGGCCCTTGGTTTCCGGAGAGCATAGAATTTGACAAGTGCTGTTAGGACATTAAGCTAGATTAATTTTTACATATATTTTATAACCTAGCCTAGGACTCAACTTGAATTTATATAGTTTATTTTTGTTTTTATTTTTTTTGTGAAGAAGATCAGCCCTGAGCTAACATCCGTGCTAATCCTCCTCTGGGAAGACCGGCTCTGAGCTAATGTCTATTGCCAATCTTCCTCCTTTTTTTTTTCCCTTTTTCTCCCCAAAGCCCCAGTAGATAGTTGTATGTCATAGCTGCACATCCTTCTAGTTCCTGTATGTGGGACTCGACCTCAGCATGGCCGGAGAAGCAGTGCGTCGGTACGTGCCCAGGATCCGAACCCGGGCCGCCAGTAGCAGAACGTGTGCACTTAACTGCTAAGCCATGGGGCCGGCCCCGAATTTATATAGTTTCGAAAAAGGGCGTTCTTAGGGCCAGACTGGTGGTCTAGTGGTTAAGTTCGTGAGCTCCACTTCAGTGGCCCAGGGTTTGCGGGTTCAGATCCCAGGTGCAGACCTACTGCTCATCAAGCCATGCTGTGGCAGTGTCCTACATACAAAATAGAGGAAGACTGGCACAGATGTTAGCTCAGCGACAATCTTCCTCAAGCAAAAAGAGAAGATTGGCGACAGATGTTAGCTCAGGGCCAATCTTCCTCCCCAAAACAGAAAAGAGGAGGGGCATTCTAAATCTCAAAGAGCAAGCATGTAAATATATTTGGGGACAGTTATCATTACATAAGTTGAAAACCCCTGGTTACTTTCCTAAAATCGAATCCTAAAAGTTTTTGGCCTAACCAAATAGTGTTTAGCCAAAACCATTAAAGTTGAACATGGGACTGATATATATTATATAAAATTGGCAAGTTGTCAGTATTTATTTAAAAAAAAGGTTGTCCAATTTTCACCTTAAAGTTTTTGATGATATTGCATTTAAAAAAATAATCAGTATGGAACTTTATCAACATATTTATACTTTATTTAATGGAAATATTAACTATCTTTGAACTCGAACCTAAGTATTCGCTCTATTTTATTATTTTATATTTTCTAGCATATCAACGAGTCATATGTGGCACTACAGATCCTCATATCTGTATACTGAGATTAAGCCATCTATGTACATCACATAGTGAAGGCGATCTCCTTTTATGTCCTAAGTATATCCATTTGTTGTGTGGGTTGTCACTAAGAAGCAGTGAATTTTAAAAACTCAGAACTCTCCCTATATCCCCTAGTCCATAAACTACAATGCTTAAATAGAGGCTATTATAAGCCATTATGCACAAATAATGTTATATTAGTTTTTAAAATTACTTATGCTTAATCTTTTTCCAAAAGGAATTGTGGCAGCTGCATAATCTTATAATTGTTGGATTTCTTTTTTTTTTTAAGGTGTTTTAGTTTTAAATTGTAAAAGCAAACAGAGACTCATAATAAATATGTTCTGTGACATTTTTGATATTTGTGTCTTTTATGTAGCTCAGAATATGTGAGATTTTCATGTTAGACCATTGGACCATTTTTCCCCCATTCTGTGGGGATAGAGGGTGGAGTCTAGAGGCTTCTAAAATGATCGCGAATGAGGAAATAAACATTCAGCCTAGAAAGCTTGCAGTTTGGGGCAGGGAAGGCAGATTCACTGTAGAATGCTACTGGATTCTGCTGTTCAAAAGTTACCCTGAGAGAGCCTGAGGCAGACACACACACACACACACATACACACGTACACACACACATACAGAAACACACACACATGGCTCCCTCCTCAGCAAGGAGAAAGCTGCCTGTTTTCCTCTGTATGCTTTCACTTTGCTTTACATTTTGAAATAAATACACTATGCTAATAAACATATCTTAAGGTAGACATTTTATTAGTAGATCCGAAACTGTACTTAAGTTATAAGCCTTCTGAACTTCTGTATTTTTCTCTTAAATTATAATTTCCTTTTTATTCCTATTTAAAACCCAAGTGTAAAAGATGTGTTCATATGCTTTTCGCTCACTCACTTTCCTCTTTTCGTAACCACAGAATGACAGCCTTCAATTTTAATTTCCTGACTTGGCTTGTCATGGTCTTAGTTTCTTGAAGCAGTGAGTTTAATTTAAGTAAATTTCTCAAGCCATTATTATTTAAACACATTTGCACAGCACCGAAGAATCTTAAAATATTATTGCAAGCAATTGAAACTCATTTTTTCAGTTCCACATATTTTGGATTGCTCCTATCTTTATATGAATTGTTTACGAATTTTCAAAAAATAGGGCAAACCCTTTTTGCGTGATCAGCGTTGCTGAGAAGTGTAATAAACTAGCAGGCCAGCACCAGGAGCCTGGGTTCTGGTCTAGACACCACCACTTCCTAGTTGCATGTCTTCAATTCATTAACCCTTCAGACCAAAAAGCTCTTGTCTGTAAATTGGGAACCATAGTGTATCCTCTACTCATCATACAAGGTCACTATGAAGATCAAATGGATACAAGATTGCTTTCAAAATGGCAGCACACTTGCCAATGTATGTTGGTGGTATCTTCTATTAGGCAAAGGCTGTGCACAGTCTCTGTCCTTAGAAACACAGGCAAGGAGGCCTCACCAACGGCCATGTCTTCTTGCCCTGTGGGTACTGTTTCCTCTCACACGCTCTGTCTCATTCCCTTTTCCACTCTTGCAGAACTGTGTCAGTGGGTCACCCAAAAGCTGATTCAACTGATTCCTGAAATAAAGGCAGTCAGATCTGTTCGGTGTTATGGAGATGAAACAACTGATTTACTGGTTTTCTCTATTTTTCTGCTGCTTGTGTTGGCTTGTCGACAGACATGGAAATAGTCTGTCTGCATGTGACACGAATCTTTCCGGGCATTTCTTAGTGTCATGTGCTGTTGTTGACCTGCTCCCCTGGATACCTCTGTCCTTACTTGGTCCTCCCTTTGGATCACTTTTCTCCACTTGCCCTGGCAAGAATTCACATGGTTATCAGTACTTTGGCAACCTGCTTTCAACATACATTGTACATCAAGCAAGTTTGCTGGGTACAGCTTTTGGGTTGAACTGAGAAGGGCTAAATGAGTGGGAAGGTCTGTCAAGCTCAGATTCAGAGTGCCCTGTCCCAGACATTACAAGATGTGGACTTTTGGTTTGGTTTGGTTTGGTTTGGTTTGGTTTGGTTTGGTTTGGTTTGGTTTGGTAAACACTATGATGTTGAATCTTCCTCGGGCCAGCAGAGAGAGAATTGCTTTAGAGCAATTTGGCACTTGTCTTAATCTTAATAGTCCAGAACTAATATGTGACTAAGGAAAGAGCTATTCTTCCAAAAAACTGTGACACCCTAGGCTATGTGATAAAATCTCTTTGTAAAGTCTATATACATGTAAGATGAAGAGACCCCTAGAGACGTCTGGAACAAGCTCCAGATTTGGGAAGAGTCCATCCACATTGGCAGTGGTTAATGTGGGTTTGAGTGGGAAGTGAAGGCACTGGTGGATGGGCAACTTCCAGTTACCATCTGGACCTGGAGCTCCCTAACTTTTAGGGCTCTCTTCTCTATGGAAAGTTAGCAGCCTGAAGTTTTGGGCATTAATTGTTTTGTGCAGGTGTGGGGGAGCATTTATGTGTGGGAAAAGTTTGATAACCATTCATCTTATCTTACCGACATTTCGTCTCAGGTTCATCCCTGACTTTCAAAATACAACGAAATATTTCTACATTATCTCTCCTAACTGATACATTTTTAAAAGATGCCCCTTTGGGAAGGAATTCTGACTTTTAGAATTTTAGTCCAGAGTAAGTATTTTCTTCCAATGGGGTTAAATAGAATAATCAGATAATTCTTATTCTTTTGGACACCATTCGTATCTGCTTATTATTTAAAAACAAAACAAAAGGAAAACATAATACCATCTCACAAGTTGCTTTGGTTTTGCAAAATCATTTTTTGTGATTTATGCAAATTTCTCATTGGATCTGTGAATTGTAAAGCACGTACTTGCTGAAGGCTGCTGGTATCAGCAGCTATTGTGTGAAGTCACTACATGGATGTAATAATAATAATAGTAGTTGTTGTTCTGCATGTGGAAAAAGCCATTCGTCTTCTCAATGGAAATGTGGAGATAATCTGATTCTGACAGACAACCCCCGGTGGACATGGTCTTGTCTCGCTTTATTCCTTCTGTTTTCTACATAGGCTTGGATTATTTATTTAAAGGGCTTTAGCAGGATGTCCCAGGTGAAGCTCTGACAGTCTGTTTACAGTTCACTTCTGCCCAGGGGCAGTCAGAGGCCCCTTGCAGGATAAGCAGGTGACTCAGGCGAGAGGAGGAGGATGTGCAGTCAGACTACGAATGTTGAAATGAAGTAGGGTAGAGTGACATGTCTGCACTAGCACCAGGGGCTCATAATTCAACAAGAATCCACGTGCCGAAATCTGTAATTCTTATGAATTGTTTAGTGTAAATGCAACTAAAATTTCAGGAGAGGGAGTAAGGAGGAAGCATAAAGATCTATGTGACAGTGTTAAAAAATATTCTTCCAGCACAAAGACGTTTAATCCTCCTTTGTCAAAACTCTCTGTCTGCTGGAAAAGTTGGCCTAGGGCCCCAGGGCTGCAGGGTAAGGCACGAGAAAGAGATGGCACACGAGGAGGCAGCTGCCACCTCTGCTGTTGGATGCGAGCGTCCCTCTTCTCACCTGAGTCCTCGCCCTCTGCTCTTCCTTTGCCTTCATGTCCACGCCATCCGAGCGTCTGCTCGGACTAGTTTCTCATTCCTGTTGTAAGCAGGGCTTGCTACGTGCTCTCCCCACACAGAGAAGGAATGCTCACTGCCCTCGCCCACCGGCCTGCTCCTCTGCACACGTGCTTCTTGCACACAGTGGCTGCTATGTCCCGGTGTTGTCTACACTGGGAGAGTCAGGTGTCCAAGTTGCCTCCCTGGACTCTGAGCTTCAGGCCTTGTGTGCCCCTGAAATGCTCTGCTTCATGGAATGCGGGTATTTCAGTCAATTTCATTTGTTTCTTGATAGATTCCATTTTCACTTAGGAGAAGCTGACTGTTTGAAAAGTTTTCTCAAAATACTCATGAAAGATAGAAGGTACCTTCTTTATATTGATCTTGTTTTAAAGATCTGGTCCTGGGGGAATCACCAAACTTGAATAGAGTGATGAGCCATCTGGGAAACCCAACAAGGACACAGTCACATTTTAAGTTGAAAATATATTAAGCTGATAATTGTATTAGATTCTCCTAAACAGACTTTGGGAATCCCGAGTTCCCTGAAGTATTCTATCACCGAGGATCAGAACCTGACTTTTACCAGGTGGCACAGTAAAAGCAAGCATGAGATTCTTTTAACATAGTATTCTAAGATACTTAATTGACACATTTAGAAAATTAATTCTATATTAACTGAAGCACAGCTATGTAGAAAAATTCTTAACCAGAGAAAACAGAAACCTCCTTCCCTGCTCCTCGCTTTGCCTCCATCCTCTCTCATTCCCCTTTCCTTGCCAGTTGTTTGTACGTATTCTTTCAAAGTAGGTATTTTCGGTTTTTGTGTATATCTTTATGTAATTTTAAATTTACGTGTAAGGTGTTGGTATACTAAGATATTTCATTCTGCTGCTGCTTTGTGACTTGTTTTTCAGACGCGTGCACTCTGTTCCAGGAACATCGTCTGTTCTAGGCACTGCCATCCGCCATATGTAACCGTTCACTCTCAGATGGTGGTTATTACATGTCACCTGCTACACTGACTACAAACACAGTCTCAACGATTGACACAATGACATTTATTTTATTTTTTTAGATTGGGTTCCTTGTATCAATTTGGTGTTTCAGTCCTGCGCTGAAAAATTTTAGCAACAACATGTAAGCAATCAACTAAACTGAAACATGGAATTTGTATGGACGGATACACAGCAGAGAAATATGTTTGTTTAATCCACTTTCTTGAACCTAGACAATCATCACTTATTCAGAACTATTTCAAAGAATGCTGTCACGGCCCTGGTGATTTTGTTTAGGAAAACATGAAATGTGACTCAATGGCAGAAGTCAGCCCCAAACTCCCATCACCTGTGTGCTGTCATCTTGGTGATACGCAGTTCCAAGAAACTATCATGCTGATCCATCTTGCTATGTGGTATTTCAGGTTACATGGTGAGCCTCTGAGCCTTCACAGTAAACAGGCGTAAACTTGGACGGTGCCTTGTATGTAGGCAGTGAGATGGCACAGGAGACTGGGCAGAAGCCGGGGAACCCAGCTTTTGTCCCATGAAAGTTTACAAGTTAGAAACATGGTCCTATAAACCTTATGTCCCTGAAACCTTGTTCCAGCCCCTAGGCAGGGAAACCCCATCACATACAAATTCTACGTTCATTCAGAATTATCAGACCACTTTGCTGAAAAGTCTGATGACGTCCACACCCCGTTTACACACTTCTTCCTGAATCCCGAGGCTGTGCTCACCTGAAGGCACCCTTTTCCACGATAAGACCTCTGATGGAAGCAGGGCCTGGACTCACATTCTCGCTTCACGGCTTCTTAGCTGGGTGGCCCTGAGGACGTTGCCTAAATCCTCTCTTCCTCTAAGTGCCTGGTCCGTAGGACAGGCGCAGTGAGTCTCACCTGTGCCGCGGGTGTTCTGTGGGGGGGGAGACGAGACGTGGCAGACCCCTGGGAGCGTGGGTGGCGCGGCGTAAACCCTTGTTAACTGTTGTCGTCTGACCCGCGGTGTGCCCTCCTGTCTCGCCCAGGCCTCCCACAAGCCGTGTACAGATTGCAGCTTCCTGGCTCCCGCGCTTTTCTCCATCCCGGCTGCCCCCTCCTCCTTTTCACTGTCTCTGAATCCTGCCTACTCTTGCCCTTTCCCTAGAGCACTGCCCTGGCAATGCCTCAGTGCCCCATCCCCTCCCCCCGGGCACGGCACCGCGAACCTTCTGCTCGGCCTGCTGCCGGTCCTCCCGTTGCACGTAGGTTCATTTTGTCCCACTTGCGGCTCTAGAGGGGAGAGGCCTTGTTTTTCTTATTCTCTTTTGTCCCATGGGAAAAATCCCTCTGGGGTGTTGATACCAGGGATAGTTGTGCTTTTCCTAGACCACTAGTTTAGTTCTGAGCTTTGAGCACCAAGTCTTATATCTGCCTGTGTTTATTTCCCTCTTTGCATAGACTGCTAGGGAGCTCAGAGCCAAGCCTGAGGTTTATGTCTAGCTGGTGCGTCGTACTTCCTGGCAGGTGTTTTGCATACAAATCTCACCACACCTTCACATTATTTCTTTTTCCCACATTTCTCTGTAATCCTGTCTTGGCCACTTTTTAAACCCCGTTATCTTCTTTTCATTTTGTAAGCATCTTAAATCCTTTTGGGAACTAACTAGGGTGCAAATGGTCCATATTTCAGTGTAAGGCAGCCTGGAGGGAGGCGGCAGACAGACCTGGGTTTGCAGCCACTCCGCTACTTACTTTAAAAAGCAAGCTACCCTGGTAAACAAATATTTCTAAATTAACCAATATGTAATTGATACAAAATATATGCACTCTGGTTAGTAGGTGTTGATCAGTTCCAGCACCTACAGGTGCTTCTTGGCTCGGGGACTCCCACGCTCGCCAGTGGCTTAATGAGTAAGTGCCCAGAGCCCCCCTTGGGTGCCTGGGGAATCGTGCGCAGTCCTGTCTCCAACTTTGTAAAGTCGCTCGTGGACACAGGCACTCAGGTGTGAAGACACGGCGATGTCTTAGGATACTATTTGGAGTGGGTGTTCTCTGAGCAATAAGCAGTGTCTGATAATTACTGTCCCTTGAGCTGCTGGATTCCTGGGTGTCCGAGGGTTCGGACCGTAGCTGACAAGGCTCCCTGGGTCCAACAGCTGCCCTCTGCAGGTCGGAATCCCCCAGCCAGCTCTGCCGCATCTGGAATCCGCCTGTGGGCTGAGGACGGGCTTCCCACTGACCTGGCCTCGTCTTCTTTCCCCTCAGCCCTGCAGCAGCGCCTGGGAAGCCGCATCCTGTGGGAAGACGGAGGAGCAGGTGACGGCCTCGGGGCAGGCCCGGAAGTACGCCAACGCCTTCTCGACCCGGACTCTGGTCATGTGAGGCGTTTCTGACAAGCATTATGGTTTCCAGAACACTGCAAGTTGACTTGGGATTGATCATCCTCTCCATGAGACTTTTCACGAGTGGGAGAAGAGCCTATTTTTGTTGTGGTACAACAGTCGAGAGCGGCACCAAGTGCATTTAGGTGGGTGAAATCTGATCAGATTTCACCCAACTAAAAGGATTTTTAAAAAAAAAATAACTGTCTTACCTAAATTATTAGGTAATGAATTGTAGTCAGTTGTTAATATCTTAATGCAGATTTGTTTAAACATGAAATGATTTATCTGTATTTTAGAGGATCCAACAGACCAGTATTTTTTCCTGTGATGAGGTTTTTGAAATTTTACACAAAAAAAGGTACTCCAATATTTCACTTTTCTCAGTCACTAAACACAATGCATTACTATAAATGTTGGCTTGATACCATGGGATCATTAATCGAGATATGTCGATGCTCATTTATGGTTGCTAATGTTGGAAGTACATTTATTGTACTAAACCATTTTATGAGCTTTTTGTTAGCTTGCTTTAAAGATTATTACTGTATGAAATAGTTTTATAAAAAATTATATTTTTATTCAGTAATTTAATTTTGTAAATGCCAAATGAAAACTGTGTTTTGCTGCTATGGTCTTAGCCTGTAGACGTGCTGCTAGTGTCAGAGGGGCAGTAGAGCTTTGACGGAAAGTAAAGGAACTTGGTGTTAGGTAATTGACTATGCACTAGTATTTCAGACTTTTTTATTTTTTATATATATATACTTTTTTTCCTTTTGTAACACATTGAAAAACTTGTTTGGGAGATTTTGCATTCATCGTTGTTGTTTTCTTTTTTGTTTATTGTTGGTTTATAAGAGCATGCGTTGCACTTCTTTTTTGGGAGATCTGTGTTGTTGATGTTCTGTGTTTTGTTTTGAGTTCAGCCTGTTCTTTAATTCAGGGGTCGTGTGTTTGCTCCCCATCCCAGTGGTTTCTGCGCGTCTGGTCTCAGAACTGCCACACGGAGCCTGTGTCTGTAGCTGGGGTTGGGAGATTGGGATCGATAGCCAGTTGCTGCCTTCAGAACATTTGGTGCACGACGGCCGGCACTGAACTTTTGATATGACAGTGTACTTACTGCCTGGTAGTGAAATAAAGCTGTGCCCTTATTTTACTTACTTCTGACTTCTCTGTTACTTGTGACTGTGGACCATGGTTATACTTTCAAGAAAATGGAGCAAACTCAGAGCACTTTCTTCTGTTAATAATTTGCACACCATCTGAACTTCACATGAAGAAGTTAAGAATCGTTACTGTGGAGAAGGAATAACAAGCAAACCCAGTACAGTATTTCACAGAATAATCAAGGGCAGAATGACAGCTGGGAGGAAACCTCTGGAATGTATCAGTCAGGGTTCCAGCAGCATTTGAATTGGGATCCTGCGACGAGAGTTCATTTACAAGGGGACTGATACCACAGATGTGGGGGGTGGGGGGACCGCAGGGGTAGTGCAGGCACATGGGTGCAGGCCTGCAGGACGCTGCCACGGGAGGGGGAGGGTCGTGGACAGCAGGAGCCTTGAGAGGAGCCGTGAACTTTGGAGACCTCACAGGGAGAGAGGCGAGGGTAATCCCTAACTTTTCCTCCCCTCTCCCTCTCTTCTCTGCCAGGGTCCTCATTGGCAGAACCAACTAGAAGCTAGAGGGCAAGGCAGCACCAGGCTGTAAGGCAGCCAGTCAGCCTCCTAGGGCAGAGCCAGAGGACGTTTCTCTGGGGGCAGGGACAGTGCGTCCCAGCCGAGTCATCCAGTCAGACTTTCTGTTTCACTGATGAACTTCCACTGGCTTCCATCTCTCAGCTCAGTGTCCTTTTCGCTGTGCTGCAATATCCCGTTCACATAGGTTCCTTATAATTCCTTTAGTCACTCTTTCCGGCTCAGACTCTGAATTCTCATATGCTGGTTCCTCGAGCTAAGGATTTGTTACCCCTAATTACTAGTCACTAAGGCTGGTTAGTATTCTTGGGTTGTATTTCTGATAGACAACAACCCGTCATCCCTGTGTCGGGAAGCTCTCCGCGTTCGTGCTCTCAGAGCATGTTCCTCGTGCTGACCCTGCCCCTTACCAGAGGGTTGAATTTGGACGAGTTTTTCTTCATCTGTGAAATGAGTTCATTCCCACGATGAGCTCTTGTTAAATAACATACCATCATACAAACGTTTGTCATCACATACGGTTTCCATGATTAAGTGATGCCTGCTGGGCAGTGTCACACGTTCATCCAGCCAGTGGTGTGCATTGTCGATTAAGCATGAAGCTTAGGGGTCATATTATAACTATTAAAATAAGTTAATGGTGAGAGTGAACTCAACATTATACAGAACTGAAATAAATATTTACTTTTCCAAGTACGTAACCTAATAACTAGAAACTGAAAACTTAAACTAATGAAAAACAGTGTAAATTTAGGTTCTATGTACAAACACTCACACTCATATAACCCCTGTTCACAAGCATCTCTAAAATATTTATTTGTCCTGGTTATTTTTTTCAATCCTCCTGCTTTCTACAGCAGAGATTCAGGTAGTAAAATAAATGTAAATAGTATTACCGACTACTCAAATGTCGTCCTTTTGAGTTCCTGTGTGTGAAGCCTGCCTTCACATGTGCCCATCCAGAGAACAGGAGAGACACTGAGAAGATTCCGAATTGTCCCCCAGTGCTGACAGGACTGAGGATCCAACATGAGAAAGACGTGCAGGGAAGCGCTTCTTTGTGTCTGTAGAAATTCCACGATATTAGAACTGGAAGGGGGCCGGCCCCGTGGCTTAGCGGTTAAGTGCGCGCGCTCAGCTGCTGGCGGCCCGGGTTCGGATCCCGGGCGTGCACCAACACACTGCTTCTCCGGCCATGCTGTGGCTGCGTCCCACATACAGTAACTAGAAGGATGTGCAGCTATGACATACAACTATCTACTGGGGCTTCGGGGGAAAAAATAAATAAATAAATAAAATTATAAAAAAAAAGAAATAACTGTTTATCTGTAAAATATATTGTTCCTTTTATTACTAAGTGCTGTCCTTCTTTATCACCGTTAATGTTATTTAGCTTAAATTCTATTTTTGTCTGATATT